TCGACTCCACCCTAAAGCCCTCCCTTACTGTACTACACCACTGCTTGACCTTCTTCTCTCCCCATCCAGGTACTGCACTAATCTGTTCAGGTTGCGCATTGACTGCGTTCTGCAGGCTTCCGAACGTAGATATCAAACTAGCTGCATCTGATTTATTGATGCTCCGGGGTGTTGTGACGAACTCAACAAGAGATTCTTTATATGACTGGGCTTGTTGCGTGCGAATAGCAGTGGGTTGAGAGTTTTCAGAAGACTTGAACAGTTCAAGGTAGTGTGCAGCTTCAGGTGCAGACCAGCAAAGGATCAACGTCATGTTGTTGACGATGGATGTCTTCGAAAGCTCCTTCAAGCTTTCCTCATGATTTGGAATATCCACAATAACCAGGATAATCCGTAACAGATATTTTCCTGCTATGAGGCGAATTCGCGAGTAGATATATTCGGGATGTAAGCGGTGATACTTCAAGGAAAGAAATAAAGCACAGGTGGTGCTTCCGACCACATAATCGGCCGGTATGTCTGCATATTCCCACGGCAGTAGTTTAATATGATTCAATATTGGATTGCCTTTTTGTCGCGTTGACACGAGGATGGCAGATGGGCCAGACCTGCTGGGGAGTGCTTGTGGCTTGGGCTGTTGGACCTTAGATGCTGACTGCGGTGTCGAGGCACCAGATGCTCGAGGTGTAGCCGATTCGGAACGTGCTACTGGGTCCATAATGCTTTGTTTTCCCCAGTGTCATCTGCTATTGGTTCGGAGGAGATGAAAGCTACTGCATCAGGTGCCTCGCAAAATATAAGCGAACGGGACCCTGGATGTTGTCATATCACTTCGATTTACACCAATCCTTGGCAGGAATAGGTGGGCCATACAAGGGGTCTCCTATTGGTGATGACGATGAAGGTCACGTGGTATATACATCATGTGACTCGGGGGGTACATCCTCTAGATATATGCCATGAGGAGAGGATTAGCGATAGTAGGCAGGAGGATGAAGGCTTGATTATATGGAGCCTCTGACTCCGCCATTTAAATATTGGGAAAGCATACGCTTTCGTCAGGTTTAGCATAGCACCGTCTAGTTCAGCATGGCATATGCCATTGAGTAGCACCAACCTCGTTCTGCATATGTTAAGGAGGTCTTCTGCCTGCAAACAACAGTTATCGAATGCATAAAAGCAGACAGACGTATCGAAAGGCAGACAAATAGCAAGAGCAAAGATCTAGACTGATATGTAACATGAAAGTAGATGGAGCACGGTGGAGACCCATCCCCCCTCACCGCCCGCAGACCCGCTTTTGCCTCCAAAAGTCAAAAAACGGGATCGGGATTTTTCTGCCGCTGATTCTGCGACAGAAAAAAAAAGTTATTCAAAAACACCAATCAAGGCTGAGAGGAACGAGTCCAAGATGAGTTCCCCCGAAGCCAGCGAAATCAAGGGCAGCGCTGCCCCTGATACCAACATGGACATACAAACCGAGAAGCCAGCACAGGAGACACCGGCTTCCAACCAGCCCAGGAGAGAGCTTTTCATCCGATCGCTTCCCGCCTCCACGACGACCGAGAGCCTGACGGAATATTTCTCGCAATCCTACGTTATCAAGCATGCCGTTGCTGTCACAGACCCTGAGACGAAACAATCGAAGGGATACGGTTTCGTGACATTTGCGGATCTCGAAGACGCAAAGGCCGCGCTGGAGGAGTTCAATGGCTCTGTTTTCGAGGGCAAGAAGATCAAGGTTGAATACGCCCAACCGCGTCACCGTGTTGTCGATGAGAACCTTGGAAGGAGCAAGCCTTCGGCTGAAGCTCTTGAACAGAAGAAGAAGAGAGAGGATCAGAGGGCGGCCGCTCAGCCTAAGCTGATTGTTCGAAACTTGCCGTGGAGCATCAAGGAACCCGAAGACTTGGCGGTTCTCTTCCGCAGTTTCGGCAAGGTCAAATATGTTACCCTTCCCAAGAAGGGAAGCCAGTTGGCTGGTTTCGGTTTCGTTGTTTTGCGTGGAAAGAAGAACGCCGAGAAGGCCTTGCAGGCAGTGAACGGAAAGGAGGTGGACGGAAGAACACTCGCTGTCGATTGGGCTGTCGAGAAGAACGTCTGGGAGGATCTACAAAAGGACAACGAGGAAGAAGATAAGGATGTAAAAGAGGAGTCAGAAGATGCCGACATGGAGGATGCCATTGAAGCAGAAGTTGGCATCGATGAAGAAGCCCATTCTGACGAGGACGACGACATGGAAGACGATAGCGACGTTGATGAGGATGAGGATGCCGAGGAGGACGAGGACGAGGACGAGGACGAGGATGAGGGAGAGAAGGAGGACGAAAGGAACGCTTCGACGATCTTCATCAGAAACCTTCCGTTCACCTGCGATGATGATATGCTCTACGAACACTTCACCCAATTCGGTCCCCTTCGCTATGCCAGAATCGTCGTCGACCACGAAACCGAGCGTCCCCGCGGTACTGGATTTGCTTGCTTCTGGAAGCCCGATGATGCAGCAGCCTGTGTGCGCGACGCCCCTAAACAACAAGATACCCTTGTCGCAGAGAAAGATAAGTCGAAGAAAGCCTCTACCGCCTACAAGCATTCCATTCTACAGAACGAAAACACCGACCCCACCGGACGGTATACCTTGGAGGGTCGCGTACTACAAGTCGCCCGCGCAGTGAGCAAATCTCGCGCTTCACAGCTAGAGGAAGAGGGAGTGTCTCGTCGACTCGTCCGCGATACCGACAAGCGCCGCCTCTACCTGCTTTCTGAGGGTACCATCCCAACGAACTCCGCCCTTTACAAGAAGCTTTCGCCATCGGAGATCAAGATGAGAGAAGACAGCTACAAGCAACGACAGAACTTCATCAAGAAGAACCCGGCCCTCCATCTCAGTTTGACGCGTTTGTCGATCCGTAATATCCCCCGTCACGTCACCACGAAAGATTTGAAACAGCTCGCTCGTCAAGCGATCGCCGGATTTGCAGAGGATGCGAAGAAGGGCCTGCGGCAACCTCTGTCTAAGGATGAACTGAACCGCGCGGCCGATATCATGAGAGAGGCAGAGCAGTTGCGGAAGAAGAAGGGTGTTGGTGTTGTGAGACAAGCGAAGATCGTTTTCGAAACTCGGGATGGTCACAAGGTTGGTGAGGAAAAGGCTGCGGGAAGAAGCAGAGGTTACGGTTTCGTTGAATACTATACCCACCGCCATGCTCTAATGGCTCTCAGATGGCTCAATGGTCACGCTGTTGAGGCACCTGCCACTGGCTCGGAGGACAACAAGGAAAAGAAGAAGCGTCTGATCGTCGAGTTCGCCATTGAGAACGCCCAGGTTGTCAAGCGCCGGCAGGAACAGCAGGCTAAGGCACGTACCTTTAAGAAGGGCAAGCAAGATGGTGAAGGTTCGGCGGATAAGGACGAGGGCAAGAATAACAAGGGAGGCCCCAATGGGAAGAAGAGAAAGCGCTCTGACAACAACGACAAGGGCGCTAATGAGGAAGATGATGAGGAACAGAATAAGCTTGCAAAGCGGAATCGTATTATCGCGAAGAAGCGGATGCAGCGAAGATCTCGGAAGGGAAAGGCTTAAGGCCGGGTACATAGATAAAAGTCAATGCGGGTTATATATGGAGTAAATAGCTAATGATACTGTCAACAAGCTCATTTTTCGGATTCTGGCGTTGCACTGTTCGACGCATCTGCATTGGAGTAGTCCACGGGTATAATTCTTGCATTAGAGAAAGGTGAATTATCTCCAAACATCGCTGCTAACCATCTCCTCCCTTCAGTAGTTTGTAGCATCCTTCACCTTTCCCACAATGTTGTAGCGTTTGCTGAAGAATGTGAACCATTCATCCAGGACGGTCTTCTCCTTGTCCTCCAGGTCATACCAATCGGGTTTGCAGTCCTCGGCTTTGAGCGACGAAGAGGCGAGGGCGCGGGAGGGGTCCTTTCCAGCAAAGACTGGTAAGGGTAAATATACGTCAGTATACCCATTCACAATCATGAAGCACAGATAGAGGCATTGTAATCAAGGTCGAATAACTTACCGTGGTACTGTCCACTAGGGCTGTATGCCTGGTTCCGAGTGACATCGAAAACGATTCCCTTGATCGCAACCAAGGTGGGACGGTTAGGATCGGTACCTGGAAATTGTAGCTTGTCAGTATATCAAATTCTAAAAGACTTAACAAATTCTTGGAGGTGCAGTGCCGAAAACTCACCATCGCATTTGGACAGCTCCTCAACGGTTATGGGATCATATTTCGGGGGATCAAGCTGGACAGGGATCTTGGGAGAGAAGCGCTTCGGCTCAGGCTCGTGCTCGACCATTGTGACGATTGTTGATTGTGCAGGTAGTTTTATTCAGTAGGTTTCTCGCTGGGAAGCTGTTTATTAGCAGCAGACGCTGTGGAAAGACGAGGTTCGTTGCCGGTTAAACAGGCGCGGGGCAGGCGGGGAGAGCTCGGAGCGGCGAAACCGTGGGTCGAGGTTTGGCAGCTTTCGTCCGCGGCTCGGTGATGTTATCGTCAGTCCCCATCTCGTCTTCTCGGATGAGTAGTAAGTGTTCTTTACAATTAGTTTCATTGGCTCTTCAGACATCGACTCCTTGATTCTGGAGTATCCACTGCCCCTGAACTTAGGTAGATTAAAGACTCGCCTACTGTCCAGGGCCAGACTCAGTGGTTGCTCTGAATTATGCATGCAGGAAGTCAGTGATCTGTAAGAAACGTGATCGCAACAGTTTGGTTGGCAACTGAGCCCCCTTTCCGCATCTGTAGATTGCCTACTCTGGAAGCCCCGTGATTGGCGCCACTAGTTCTGACGTCAAAGATGCCTGATGGCCAACTGTATCTATCATATAAGAAAAGCATCACACGCGACATCCATCTTTATTTATATGTGTTGCAAACCGTTGCATCTTGTGTATACAGAACTGGATTATCCATTCTAGTCCCCCTTGTCATCATTAGTTATCACGAGGAATTTCGCGAAAAGCACAGAAAATGTCCACACAACAAAGTAGTCAACCGAGAGCCATCCAGACCCCATCCCTTGCTCGGGACTCTCATGGCAATGATGCAGAAGGAGACCGCAGATCGATCTCGGAGGAGTCCGATCTGTCGCATTACCTCCACTACGAAGACAACGATGGCTTTTTCCCTCCAGCCTGGCTAGGGAAGGCACCGCCTACTCAACATGATGTTACGAAGGTTCCGGATAAAACTTCCCAAACTAAGATGCAAACATGATCAATGACACAAGATGCCCTCGCATGAATCGAGTGTGACATATGTTTTCATCAAGGATTCTTCCTTACTGGCGTCATGGCGTGAACAGCTTTCCATATTTGTTGAAACTACGAGGCTCGGAAATGAAGGGAAATTACCTGGAAATAGCATCATGTCCGACGAATCCGTTCTTCCTTTTTGGGTCTTAGTCGCCACAGGGAAGGCAGGAACAGATACTCACATGGCACAGTTGCTATATCAAGGGGCGATTACAGGGGCGCTTGTTAGTCTTCTCATTCTAGTCAGTCTGGGATTAGTATCATGTACGGCCTAGATCGCACCAAATCTATGGAACCCTAGTTGCTACTACCTCGTTAGTCAGTTGCAGCCGATTAAACTGTTTCACCCTCTGCAATGCACAGTTTTAATAATTGTTTAACCTGCAGTCTCACAAAAGCCTTTCTGCCACCAATGTCCATGCCAGACTTGTCAACTGACAGTCTGGAGTCACTCATGTGACTCCCCGGCTGAATGCCACGGCAATTCCCCAAAACAGTTAGGGCGAGACATCCCCGGCCGAGGTTTAACTTCAACTTTACCCTCTGCCCCTCATACTTGGGTCCCTTGCTTCCCGTGGCATTAATATGCCGTGCGTGGCATTTTGCTCGGTAGTATACTACTCGGCTGCAACCAGCTATCGACTAGTAGAATCTGCGACTGGCTGTAGTCATCGATACATGCGTACCAATCCGGAAGTGCCGCAACTAATGTGCTTTACCACATCTGGTCTTAGCCTAGATGGCTCTTACCATTGACTTCGCCTCCTCTGTCAGGTTTGAAGACCTGACAATCCGGGGGTATGCCTTCCTGGCATACAATTGTCTTGGATTCTGCCATCTACCTTGCAGATGTAACTGCCTGGCACTTTTACTATGTACTCACGGATATCCATCGCTTTCATGCAACGGCAAATAGTGGCACCGATCATGGGTTACACGAAAAAAGTATTTCAAGCTGATTGGACACCTAGACGGTTGATCTGTCTGTGTTGTATCTACAAGATAATACCCCAAGCAGAAGGTTCTGTAGGGTCAGATAAGTAAGTTCGTATACAGTGTGACTTAGTACACAATCATAGACTGTGTGGCTAGATTTTCAGCTCTCTTATCAATGATTATGAGATCGAGTCAATAGGAGAGCGCAGTGTAATTGTTAGCGTGGATAAATACAATCAAGTAGGGTAGAGATAGCAAGTAAGGACAAGGTTAAAGCGAGCACCATGTTTTGCTCAAACGCCACGCACAACTGTATCTGCCCGCCATTGTGGGGTCTCCCAATGGAGTCGCCGAAGCCGTAAAGTCGGCTTCCGTACTGTGATTTGTCTCCTTGATTTCCTTTGCACGAGTTATCCCTAGACCATAATTGACTAAAATGTCTTCTGCCGAATAATGCCCCATGATTGAGGGATATCCGCATGGCGAGAACCGTTCTTGACCGGTCTAGCTAGCCCACCATTTTTCTTCGCGGTTTCCCTTCGCCCGCCTTCTTATTTCTTTTTCTACAAAGTAGCTCACTTTCTTTCCTCTTATCTCCGTGCCTCATATTTCGTCTAATGTCTTTGGATCTGCTTTTCTCTACCTAACTTGTCCACTGCTGGGGCGCGGTGAATTTTAGCCACAGTATGGCTTTTACATCTGCCATACACACCGGGAGGCATTCCCCCACAATCAGCCCTCAAGGACTAGGCGAAGAACGTAAAGAAGCCGCCATGGAACGCTCCGAGAAGGATACCGTCATTCGTGACAGTGAAGAAGTACTCGAAGATGATTCCAAGAAGCTTGACTACGATCATACGCACCGCAAGCTGAAGCCCAGACATATCCAGCTCATCGGTATCGGTGGCACAGTCGGGACCGTGTTGTACGTCCAGATTGGTAAGGCACTGATAGAAGGTGGCCCTGCTAGTCTCTTCATCGCGTTCATTATCTGGTTAGTCCTACTCCTACCGTTTTCTTCCATTGTCCTTCGCTGCTTCCTCATGGTGCTGCAATTCTCATCTTGTGAGCTGTCTCAAAGGGTCTCGTTCATAGGTAAGTCTCTTGAGTCGGAAGCACGAAGTACACGAACCTGCTTTCGCCCATCCATTAGCAGCTACAAGGACGTTGGTGAACATCAGATACCCCATGCACTATGCGTAGATCAAGCAGTGTCACAACTGCTACCTTGTTCCTGACCTGTGCTTCACCCTAGAGACAGCAGAATTTTGGGATTGTCTGGCCTTACCTTATGCATATTGCTGCTAAATATATGGAATCTTATACCTCGTTGATATAGGTCCGCTGTCATTCTATGTATAACTGTTTGTACGGATTCCCTTACCCTGCGATCTTGAAGCCCTCCCAATTCTCTTCATGCCGCTAGCGACACCAAAGCTGCCATTTGCGACCTGTGCGATTTGTCTGCATGTCCCAAAGCGCCGATTTCCCAATGACCTCTCTGATTCCGTCGCAACAAATTGGCCCGCGAATTTGTTCCCTTTGAAGTAGCATTCCACTAAGATAAGATCTATGTTAGGCTTGGCTGAGATGGTCACATATTTGCCCATCTCCTCGCCCTTTATCCGCTTTGCAACTCGGTATGTTGACGAGGCCTTTGGCGTTGCTGCCGGTTACAACTTCTTCATCTTTCAAGCCGCGATGGTGCCATTTGAAGTTACAGCGTGTAACTTGATTATCACTTACTGGAGCGATGCAGTCCCTGTCGCCGCAATTATTGTAATTGTGCTTGTGCTCTTCGGGTATGTTATGCTCTGGGTTGAAGCATACTTCGTGTACAACTTGGAGCAGTGCAAGCTAACAAGTATCAGGCTACTCAACATCTTTGCAGTGAAGTGGTATGGCGAAGCCGAATTCTGGCTTTCCTTGAGCAAGGTCTTGCTTAGTGTGGGCCTGATATTCTTCACATTTATTGTGATGCTCGGAGGCAACCCTCTTGGCGATCGCTTTGGATTCCGCTACTGGAAGAACCCCGGGGCTTTTGCCGAATACTACAAGACCGGAGATCTAGGCCGATGGCTCGGGTTCCTTGCTTGCCTCATCCAAGCCAGTTTCACCATCGCCGGTCCTGACTACGTCTCCATGGCTGCCGGCGAAGCAGTCAACCCCCGCAAAATCTTGCCCAAAGCGTACAATGGCATCTTCTATCGACTCACCACCTTTTTTGTTCTCGGTGTGCTTTGCATCGGTATCTTGGTTCCCTACAATGATCCCGACCTGGCTGCTGCATATGAGCAAGACCTGCCTGGTGCAGCTGCATCACCGTATGTTGTCGCCATGGATCGGCTGAAAATCCCCATTCTGCCACACATCGTCAATGCCATGGTTCTCCTCGCTGCTTTCAGTGCCGGAAATAGTTACGTCTACTGCGCCAGCAGAAGTCTGTACGGTCTTGCCCTGGATGGCAAGGCGCCGCGCATTCTCACGAAATGTACAAAAACTGGTGTGCCAATATACTGCGTCTTGATTGTGTTCGTATTTGCACTGTTGTCTTTCCTACAGGTCTCTAATGGTTCGGCGGTTGTTCTGAATTGGTTTGTAAATCTTGTGAGTCCCTTTTTACCCTCCGCTTCATCTACAAGTACTTACCACACTACCAATCAGGTCACTGCATCCCAATTGATCAACTTTACCGTCATTACCTTCACCTACACCCGGTTCAGAAAAGCTCTCATGGCACAGGATGTCCCTCGCGCATCCCTCCCCTATCAGAGCCGAGGCCAGCCCTATGTCGCGTACATTGCCCTGGTGTCGACTTTTGTCATGACCTTCGTGGGCGGGTACACTGTCTTCTTACCCGGGAACTGGGACATCCCGACTTTCTTCTTCTCGTATACCATGATCGGGGTGTTTCCTGTTATCTATGTGGGATGGAAACTCTGGCATCATACAAAGTTCCTGAGTCCTAAGGAAATTGATATCGTCACTGGAGTAGAAGAAGTGGAAGTTTATACTAGGAATTATGTTGAGGAACCATCGAGGTAGGTCTGCCTGATATACTGAGGGAGGTCAGAAAGCTAACGACCGCACACAGTAACGCTTTCACGAGATTCAACGATATGGTTTTCGGTTAGACCAGCATCATGAGACCACGTATAGAGAAAATCTGGGAGGCTATTTGGATAGAAGTTCATTTCTCTTTCGTTTCCTTAGCGGGATGATACCAAATAATCACTGAAAATAAACAATGAAATCGCTACAGCGTAAACCGAACCGATCAAATATCATACAAGACACAAGTGTATCCCTCCCCCTTCCAACATGATATAAATACACCCCCCCCCCCCCCCCCAATCTTCAATCTCCACCGCTTACCATCTATCATCTACCACCCACCACTACAACCCCGAACGACACAATAGAACACCGAATGAATGAATTAATTCCCCTCCCCCCTCTCCCTCTTCAACGCCTCCAACCGCATCTTATTCCTCTTCCCCAACACCCTCAACGTATTCTTCTTCTCAATCTCCGTCATAGCCTCCCAATTCGAGATGCGCGATAACGTTCCATCCTGATTCACCACCACAGGACCCAAGTGATCCAATGCAACTGCTGATCCGTCCCCGCTAACGTCGAGTTTCGTGGCTGATTCGGCGTCTGGGAGGGCGAGTATGGGCTTTTGTTCGTTGTCTTTTTGTTCTTGGTTTTGGTTCTGGGTTTGTTGTTGCTCGTTGGGTGTGCTCATTGTGGAGTAGTGAGTGCTTTGCTCCTTTTGGTATTTATTAGCGTTGTTGTAGAGGTGGATTGCTGAGCAGTGAGGGTGGAGAGGGAGGGTTGCTTGGTGGAAGAAGTGTCGTGGTGTGTGGTAGGAGCTTGTTGTGGTTGTGAGTGTTGCGGTTGCGGGTGCGATGCGGGCGGTCGTCGTGAGGAGGAGGTTGATGAGTGAGGCGCGGGTGAGAGTGGAGGACATGTACATTATATCCTTTGTCTTTTTTATTTTTTTCTGTTAGTGGGTTGGTTGTGGTGAGGTGGTATTTGGTTGATTAAGAGAAATTGAGAGGAAAGGTGATGATGTCGTTGGCGAAATCTTGGGATGTGGAGTGAAGGCGGGCGGAGTCGAAAAGAGGATTCTAGAACGTTGGGTTTGTTTTGGGGTACGGATTGCCCACTGAATTGTTTTTTATTGGAGTATGTAGACTGGGTTTTGTTTAATGCATAGTATTGGGCTTATACTGGGTACTTATTTTGCTTTTCTTTTTGTCTTGTTGTCTTAGTGTAGCTTGTATTATGGCTCCGAGCATTACCATATCTACAAGTCTATTTGGGTATCCATCACACGCTGAGGATCAGCGGAACCACCAGTTCACCTATTGATCAGATAAGTAAGAAAGAGTCATAGGCGCACACTTAAGCCAACTTACCGATGCCGTCACCCCTGTTCCTACGCCCTTGATACTATGCCACCATCCCCGGGGAATGAACATCCCATCCCCCGCTTCGAGACGTGCTTCATACCCATCTAGCCCCGGCACAGCTTTCACCTCATCCCAGACAGCCTGCTCCAATAGTGTCCTTTCCTGACCCTGCATCATTTCGTCTCCTCGAATCGCAGCCGCCTCGCGACCTGCACTCCGTCCAAGCTGCCGTCTCACGGCCCCGAATACCTTCTGTCCATCACCAGGCGATAATAGCCTCACTACCTTTTGTCCCGCAAGCTGAACGAAGAGGTTGGGATTCGGGTCCCGATGGAGAGGCGTGTACGTGGGCGGGTGTCCGATCCAAACGTTAGTGTCGTAAACGTCACCTTTGCCAGCCTGCGCTACTAATTCGGGTGTTGGAAAGTCATCACGGAGTACCTGCGGTAGATCTAGGAGCTGGCACTGCGCTAGATACAACCGCGCGGACTGTGTCTCGAGCGTCTCTGCTGTACGAATCCAGTCAAGGAACAGACTCAGCGGCGCATGAAATTGTTGGAAGGAGAGCCCGTCTGCTCCTGCTTCAACGGTACTGTCGGAGGATGGCTGTGTGAGTTCCAGCGGAACGAAGGCGTCGGCCCCATGTCGGGCGAGGTATGTTGTGTTCAACTGAGACACATTGGGGTCGGTCGGAGCAGGCTGGAACCAACGCTCAAAGGCAGGAAAATCGCGGAAGGAACCCCGGGGGAGGATTGTAGGACGTTCCGGAGTGAAGTAGTTCTTGCGGAAGTCGTCTATGTCGACATCGTTGAGGGTATCTAGGGGACGATATGGACGGGACGTCGTGGAGGTAAAGCAGCGTTGTTGGCGTGGCTGGTTTGAAGAGAACCGGAGGGTGACGGACGACAGACGGTGCCAAACCCTGAGGTTATTGTTGGGCAGACATTGTTGGAGCTTCATTCAGAAGACCAAGTGTTCAGTCATCCAGAGACGTGGGTTGGGGAAAGCTCCGTATCCACCGTTCAGTGCTGCTTGGATTGCTGCTGCACGTGCGGTTTGACAAGGTGCAGATCGGGGGATTTCCGCCCCGACTGGGATTGACCAGTTGCCGGTCAGCCTATGGATTGCCCTTTGTAGCTCTTCATCCTATCCTTCATTTCAATTTACTGATAACTTCATCTACTATTTCTTAAGATATATTTACCTGTGGTTTTTTAGGGAAAGCCGTAACTAGTGGATTTGTTAACAGTACAAGCAAGGGCTGATAAGGATGCCATGTCAGCTGGTGCTGGAGATAAACCATGGACAGAAACTCGCTCGGTCTTTCTACCTCGACAACCCAATTGGAAATTAGATGGCAAACAGCCGACCTGTCATTTGACCATCATCAGGATCAGCTACATTGTACTTACCCACTTTCTGCTAGGAGTCTTTCCCATTAGCTTATAAGAATAAAAGCGCCGGACGTGAATCTCCTCGTCGGCGATCCCTTCCCAGTCCGGCCATCTGGGGAAACGGAAACCCCGCGCGCCATCGAGCAAACGAAAGGAATCCCTCCGCACCGGTCGCTGCTCTCTTTCGCGCCAACAACCAATCGTCCCAACTTGATTTCCATCCATAATGTCGTCGGAGTCGCCGCAGGTTGATATGGCACCACCCCAGCCAGATTCTGGCGACCAGAATGCCACCCCGGACGCTGATACCGCGAAGAGGAAAGCGGAACCGGCCAACGGAACTCATACTCGTTCCAAGCGGAATCGCTACATCTCCATCGCGTGGTATGATCCGGCTCGTTGCCATCCACCCATGCGTTGAACCCTCTTGTCACTGGTTTAGCATGTTTCCCTTAATCTGTTAGCTGATTAATTCTGTATTTCCCGTTTAGTAACGAATGCAAGAGGCGGAAGATCAAATGCAATGGCCAGGTCCCCTGCCAACGCTGTGGACACCTTAACCTCGAATGTCAGTCCGCTTATCGCTGTAGCTCCGTGATACACATGGCAAACGCGACTTACCATCTCCATAGGTCGATATGCCCCAAACTGCTGCAATAATAACTTTAAAGATTCCGAGTACGTCGATCATTATTTCCGGCTTCTTTCCCTGCAGTATGTCATCATGAACCTCAGCTAACCAGTTCTCCACCACCAGGGAATTCCGGTCGATGACAGACCAAATCAAGACATTGCAGGATCAGGTAAATAGTCTTTTTACCAACCTTAAAGATCTTCGGTCGCAAAGATCGTCTATCGACTCCCCAAACTTCGACGCCTTCTCTCGTGATGGCTCGCAGTCGGTGTTCACGCCTATGCAAGCCCCGTTGAGCAAACCACGCATGAGGCATCCCCGGTTCCAGGGGCCTACCAGCTCTGCTTTTAACTTCGATCTCGCAAGGTCTAGTCTACAGAATATGGGCATCGCTCCGCCAGAGGAAGTCATACCAGACGATTTGACCACCGCCCAGGTCACCCCGGCTGGCTCTCCTCCCCATGTGGGCCCGTCGTTTCTCACGATGCACCCCACCAAGGATCCGATATGGTCCATCAAGCGAGATGAAGCTCTGCGTCTGTGTCGTGTCTACGAAGAGGAGATTGGTATCATGTATCCGCTAGTAGATATAGACCAGATCGCCCAGCAAGTGAACCTGCTATACACGTTCATGGAATCAGCGATACGCACGGGGTTTGCGCAACGGGGACTGCCTGGTGCTGACGGTCTTACTGATGACAGCACGGTTCTCTTAAAGATGATACTTGCTATAACACTGATCGTGGAGGGAGGTGGCCAAAGCGAGCTCGGACAGCGGCTGTATCTGAGCGTGAAGCCAATAGCTGAATCCAAACTCTGGGATACGCTCGACATCAAGACAATCCAGATATATGGCATGATTGTAGGTATATCGCTCTGTTCAGTGGGGTTGCGCTAACACATTAAACGACAGGCAACTTTCCATTTTCACATGGACGATGATGCCATGGCTTATCGCATCATCGGCCTGGCCGCACGGATGTGTCTTGAGATGGGTCTGCATCGGCGCGATGCCCTGAACAAGATGTTTCCTGATGAAGAACAATGGCCTGCCGTGGTGAAGACTTTCTGGACAATCTACAGTCTGGATCGGCGGTGGAGTCTCGGGACAGGGCTGCCTTTCAACATTCAGGATGAAGACATCGACCCTAACCTCCCGGAGCCGGTGAGCTACATCATTCATAAAGACTTGATTGGTCAGCTGCTGATTGCCCCCCCTAGGATGCTTCGTTGCCGTATCTGAAATCAATGATATCATACAATCGCATTAGCTCGAAGATCTGGTATTCCGGGCTGGGCTCTGAGGGTGCAACGGACATACGTCGGGATGAGATAGGTTATCTGGATTACCAGATCCTGCAGTGGTATAAACAGGTCCCAGACGCCTTGAAATTCTATCCGATCGAGTCTCCAAAGAATGGTCATGTGGAGTCGACGAACCGGGGCCTGAGGCGACTAAGGGTTCTACTGTATCTCCGCATGAACCAGCTCCGAATCCTCATCTACCGCCCCGTCCTGCATTCCGCAGCAAGTATTGCCGAGGATAAGGGCCATGCTCAGACGGTGGTGGACGTCGCAAAAGACACTATCCGCGTGCTCACTCGACTCAATCAGACATCCGACATTTATCGCAGCCAACAGATCACCTTCAACTACTTCCTCGTGGCTGCTTTGGCGGTCATCTTCCTTGCTGTCTGCCATGCACCGACAGAGTTCAACCGACAGGTGCGGGACGAATTCTACATGGCACTGAATTTGATCAGCGGGTTCAGCACAAAGTCCTACGTGTCAAAGCGTCTCTGGAAGGCTATCAAAGGTCTCCGAAAGATCGGAGAACGGCTGGGAGTGCTTATGCGGCCCTTTGGGTCCGACTCTAATGATCCCCATTCAAGTGCAGCGGTGGCCATGGCTGGGTTAGCTGGCCACCAAATTGAAGACTTGTCGGTGTATGGCCCGATGAATGGGATCGGCGAGCTTGGCAACAGCCCTCTCAACGGGCTGCAGATGAGCCATGAGCTCACGAATCTATTTGAGGCAGTAGGTGGGTTTGGGAACTTTATGGCTTCTGGGACATCGGCCGAGGGAATCAATGGGTTTGTAGGTCATGATGGTGAAATCCAGAACACGGGGGAGGGGCTCTCGGGGGTGCTTGGAGATGAAGGCGAATGGTCCCGGGTGATCCGAGATTTGTTCTAGAAGATGAGGCTATATCTACAGTAGCCACGACTGTTCAAATCGTAGCATGAAGCGTCGTCATCCCTGTATAACCATGTCTGTCCCATGTAAAGAAGTTGAAGAAACACTGAAGGGCGTCGAGGCTGGTCGATCGCCACGTGACCGAGGGGAGGGAAAGCCAGCGGCGGGTGACTTTCGGTCCGCCAACCTCCTCCAAAGCCAATGCCAGAAACATGTTCCACTTGTGAATCGCTGTTGGTGTGGCCACCCACCTTACTCTGCATCTGAAGACATCTGGTCTGTCTGTTGTCTATCTTTTGGGCCCCGACTCATCACTCTGCCGTCGTCTAGCTGCCTTATCTATCGCTCCCTCTTCGTGTTTGAGCACCTTTCCCGACCGCCCCACGAACCTAATTTCGGAAGCCCCTCGACAACCTCCGTCGATCGATTCAGGAAGAGAGAGAAAGAGCCAGGGAGATTTGTGATCCATCCTTATCCACTATCATCTGGAAGGGTCAACTTTATCAATCTCTATTAATGTCTTGTGGCCGTC